GACCTCTCCACAAAATACGAACAGAAGGAAAACTCTTTGATCTAAACTGACAAACCTGCCTATGTAGAATAGCTTCCGGCTCCTCCTCATAAGACAAGTCCTTGTCCAAATAGACAGTGCTGAAATCTAACACGTGGGATGGATCGTCGTGATATTTCCGAAGCATGGACACATGAAACACTGGATGCACGGCTGATAAGCTCGGCAACAATGCAAGTCTATAAGCTACCTCTCACACTCGATCAAGAATCTCAAACAGACCAATGAACCTAGGGCTAAGCTTTCCCTTCTTCACTAATCTCATCATGCCCTTCATAGGCGACACTCGAAGCAATACCCGTTCATCGACCATGAATGCCAAATCACAAACCTTGCGTTCGGCATAACTCTTTTGCCTGGACTGAGCTATACAAAGCCTATACTGAATGATCCTGACCTTGTCCAAGGCACCCTGAACCAGATCCGTACCCAATAACCGAGCCTCTCCTGGCTCAAACCATCCAACCGGAGACCAACACCACCTACCATATAAAGCCTCATAAGGAGCTATCTGAATACTCGACTGTTAGTTGTTGTTGTAGGTAAACTCTGCTAAAGGCAAAAACTAATCCCACGAGCCTCTAATGTCAATGACACAAGCTCAGAGCATATCCTCCAAAATCTGAATAGTCCGCTAGGACTGCCCGTCCGTCTGAGGATGAAATGTTGTGCTCAACTCAACCCGTGTGCCCAACTCTCACTGAACTGCCCTCCAGAAATGCGAGGTAAACTACGTACCTCGGTCTGAAATAATAGAATCGGGCACACCATGAAGACAAACAATCTCCCGAATATAGATCTCAGCTAACCTCTCGAAAGAATAAGAGACTGCCACAGGAATGAAATGCGCTGACTTGGTCAGCCTATCAACAATAACCCACAGTGCATCGAACTTCCTCTGAGTCTGTGGGAGACCAACAATAAAGTCCATAGTGATACGCTCCCATTTTCACCCAGGAATCTCAATATTTTGAAATGAACCACCAGGCCTCTGATGCTCGTACTTAACCTGCTGACAATTCAAACACCGAGCCACATATGCCACGATATCCTTCTTCATTCTCTGCCACCAATAATGTTGCCGCAAATTCTGATACATCTTTGCGGTGCCCCGATGAATAGAGTATCGAGAACTATGGGCCTCCTCTAAAATCAACTCTCGAAGCCCATCCACATTAGACACACAAACTCGACCCTACAATCTCAAAACTCCATCATCACCTAAGGTAACCTGCTTGGCACCTTCGTGTTGCACCATGTCTCTAAGGACACACAAATGGGGATCATCATACTGCCGATCTCGGATACACTCCCATAATGAAGAGCGAGCGACTATACAAGCTAACACACAGCTGGGCTCAGAAAAATCCAACCTCACAAACTGATTGGCCAAATCCTGAACATCCAAAGCAAGTGGTCTCTCACCGACCGGAATATAAGCAAGACTGCTCATACTGGCTGACTTCCTACTCAAAGAATCGGCCACCACATTGGCCTTTCCCGGGTGATATAAGATAGTGATATCATAATCGTTCAACAACTCCAACCACCTCCTCTGCCTCAAATTCAACTCCTTTTGCTTGAACAAATGTTGAAGACTCTTGTGATCCGTGAACACCTCACATCCCACGCCATATAGATAATGCCTCCAAATCTTCAACGCGTGAACAATGGATCCCAACTCCAAATCATGAACCGGATAGTTCTTCTCATGAATCTTCAACTGCCGCAAAGCATAGGCAATGACCTTGCCATCCTGTATCAACACTACACCAAGTCCAATACGAGATGCATCACAATAGACTGTATAAGGCCCTGAACTTGTGGGCAATACCAATACCGGTGTCATAGTTAGAGTTGTCTTGAGCTTCTGAAAGCTCGCCTCACACTCATCCGACCATCTGAACTGGGAACTCTTCTAGGTCAACCTGGTCATCGGGGCTGCGATAGATGAAAACCCCTCTACGAACCGATGATAGTAGGCTGCCAATCCCAAGAAACTCCGAATCTCTATAGCTGATACTGGTCTAGGACAGTTCTTAACTGCCTCAATCATCTTCGGATCAACCTGAATACCCTCCGCTGATACAACATGACCCAGGAATGCAACTGAACTCAACCAGAACTCACACTTCAAGAACTTAGAATATAACTGACTATCTCTCAAGGTCTGAAGAACTACTCTAAGATGTTGCTCGTGCTCCTCCCGACTGCGGGAATATATCAAAATATCATTAATGAAGACTATCACGAACGAATCAAAATAAGGCCTGAACACTCGGTTCATCAAATCCATAAATGCTGCTAGGACATTTGTCAACCCGAATGACATCACCAATAACTCATAATGCCCGTACCGAGTGCGGAAAGCTGTCTTATGGACATCGAATGCCCTAATCCTCAACTTATGGTAGCCAGATCTCAAGTCAATCTTCGATAATACCTTGGCACCCTGAAGCTGATCAAACAAATCATCAATCCTCAGCAATGGATACTTATTCTTGATTGTAACCTTGTTCAACTATCGATAATCAATACATATTCTTATCGATCAGTCCTTCTTCTTAACAAACAACACCAGCGCACCCCAAGGCGAAACAGTCGGCCTAATGAAACCCTTCTCAAGCAAGTCTTGCAACTGTTCTTTCAACTCTTTCAATTCCAGTGAGGCCATACGATACGGCAGAATAGAAATGGGCTGAGTGCCCGGATCCAAATCAATGCAAATATTAATATCCCTGTTGAGTGGCATACCCGACAGGTCTGAAGGAAAAACCTCAGGAAACTCACGAACAACGGGCACAGAATTAATAGAAGGAATCTCAACACTAGAATCACGTACATATGCCAAATAGGCCAAACACCCCTTCTCAACCATACGCCGAGCCTTCACATAAGAGATAACACTTCGAGTAGAATGACTAGGAGTCCCTCTCCACTCTAAACGAGACAAACCCGGCAAAATTAAGGTCACAGTCTTGGCATGACAGTCCAATATAGCATGGTAAGGTGATAACCAGTCCATCCCCAATATGACATCGAAATCAACCATGTCCAGAAGCAGCAAATCTACGCGAGTCTCAAGATCCCCAATCACAACTATACATGAACGATGGACTCGATCTACCACAATAGAATCACCCACTGGTGTAGACACATAAGCAGGAACACTCAAAGAATCACTAGACATAACTAGATACGGTGTAAAATAAGATGACACATACAGGTATGTAGACCCTGGATCAAATAACACTGAAGCATCTTTATCACAAACCAGAACCATACATGTAAGCATCTGAAGCCTCAGCCTCGGGCCTGGCTGGAAACACATAACATCGGGGCTGGGCCCCACCACCCTGAACTACATCTCTAGGACGGTCTGTTGTTGGCTGGCCTCCACCTCTAATACCTCTACCTCCACCTCTAGCACCTCTACCCCCACCTTTAGCTGGCTGGGTGGGCTGTGGAACACCTGGTGCCTGAACCATGGCACGGAAGCCTTGATGCTGAGAGCTACTCGGTGCTCGAGGGCAAAACCTAGCAATGTGACCCATATCACCACAAGTGTAGCAAGCCCTCGGCTGCTGAGACTGCTGGCCCTGACGACCTGAATAACCACCCTGAAAACTCTGAAGCGGCGGTGCACTGATAGGAGCAGGTAGCGCACTATAGGACTGTTGATCAAAATACTACATCTGAGGACCACGACCGCCTGAAGTACCGTGAGAAACCTGAAGTGCTGACTGAAAAGGCCTAGGAGGATGGCCTCTACCATATGAATCCCTACCTCCAGACGATGTACCACTAATCGGCCTAAATGACGGGGCATCTTGTCCGACCCATGATCACCTCCCTGTGACAGAACCATCTCCACTCTCCTAGCCACATTTGTCGCATCCTGGAAAGATATCTCACTCCCTGCCTCCCTAGCCATCTGAAGATGAATCAGCTGAATAAGTCCATCAATGAACCTCCTCACCCTCTCTCGGTGGGAAGTGTGATAAGAGCATGATGAGCCAAGTTGATGAATCTAATCTCGTACTGAGTCATAGTCATAGAACCCTGCTGGAGATGCTCAAACTACCTCCGATAGACCTCTCTCTGAGTGACGGGGAGAAACTTTTCCAGAAATAGCTGCGTGAACTATTCTCAAGTCAAAGCTGATAACCTAACTGGTATAGCCAATCAATTATCTCTCCAACAGGTCTTGGCAGATCCAGACAAGCGAAAAGTAGCAAAATAGACCTCATTGGTCTCCACGATCCCTATGTTCCTAAGAACCTCATGACAACTGTCTAGATAATCTTGTGGATCCTCAAAAGATGCACCGTTGAAAGTAGTAGTGAAGAGCTTGGTGAAACCTATCCAACCTCCACAAAGCCTCCGAAGACGTAGCTGGCCTATCACCGGTCTGAGCTGTTGTTCGGCTAAAGAAGCGGTACATGACCTTGCCATGCGCGAAAGGACAAGATTAGGGGTTTCAATTTAGCACCGAGATAACAAAATCGTACGACAGGAAAGAATGAATGTGAAGTTTTTCCTAACTCTGTAGCCTTTGGGGGGTAAATACAGATGTTTCCGTACCGATCCCTCAGACTCTACTAAGCTTGTCTGTGAACTATGTGACCCATGTAACCTAGAGATCCAATACCAACTTGTCACAACCCGGATTTTCTACCCTCGGGAGTCGTGATGACGCCTACTAATATTAGCTAGGCAAACCAATTATGTAAACAATTTACCCTTTTTACCCATTTTATATTCATTAATAATTGTGAAGTAATAACATTTAAACAACGGAATTTAACATAAGCAGAAAAAAAAACAATAAGCTAGCTAAACATGAATCCAATACAACTATTTGTGTCTCGACTACCTAGAATTTGTGTCACAGTTTCACAGATGATCTAAGAATACTACAATTAAAAGTCTGAAAGAAATAAATACAACATTGTCTCTGGAAATGCATGAAAGAAATAAGAATAGTATATAGAAGGAGACGCCAAGGCAAGCGGACGCCTGCAGGACTACCTCAGGTCGCCTGATGAGCAAGAATCAGCAATCCCACTACCGTCAGAAGTCTACAACACTGGGGTCTGCATAAAAGAGTGTAGAATGTAGTATCAGCACAACCGACCCCATGTGATGGTAAGTGTCTAGCCTAACCTCGGCGAAGTAGTGACGAGGCTAGGACCAGACTACCAAATAAACCTACGCAATTTAACTATATACAGCGGAAAAAGAAGTACAGAAAGAAACAGTCAAGTATGGAAGGGGGAAAACATGCTACAGGGAAATATCAAATAGTAATAGAATAGCAACAAATAAGTATGAGGTTCACCACAGTTCAATTGAAAATAGTAAGGGGAAATCATGTTGCGGGGTACAACAAGTATCAATAGGAAACCAACAATTTAGTGTAGAGAAACCGTAACACAGTTATCAATAAAAATTAGGAAATCAAAGACAAGTGCACGGCATCACCCTTCGTTCTTTTACTCTCTCTCACCAAAACAATACACGGCATTACCCTTCGTGCTTTAACACTCTCTTACCAAAACAATACACGGCATCTCCCTTCATGCTTTACGCTTTTCCTTACCCAAACAACAATCACAAGGAAAATAGGGTAAGGAATCTATAACCTCGAAATAAAATAAAGTAACAACAAAAAATCAGTAAATAAATGTAAAGGACAACATAACTCAATTATCAGCAAGAATCAGGGAAAATCAAGGACAAGTGCACGACATCACCCTTCGTGCTTTTACTTTCGTCCTCACAATAAGAATCAATAAAATAGGCACAGAATGGTACATCGTGCGGCGCGACATCACCCTTCGTGCTATACATTCATTCCTCACCATGAAATCAATAAAACAGGCACGAAATGGTACATCGTGCGGCACATCATCACCATTCGTGCTTTACACTCTTTCCTCACAAAAACAATGCACGACATCACCCTTCGCGCTTTAACGCTCTTCCTCACCCAAACAACAATCACAAACAATAGGACGTAACTTAATATTGTAGGACGTAACATCAATCGTAATATATTACTGCAGAGCATAACATCGACGTAGTACTACGGGGCATAATAGTTCGAAACCCTGAATTATGTGTTATGTGATTTGTATTGAGGTGACATACAGCCAAGTGACGGGCGTGCAGGCGTGCACCGTGAGAATTGTGACCTGGTTGATTCCATGGCACTGTATACTGACTCTATCTTGTTGATATTCATGTTTTCATCATGTGATAAAGTAATTGGGTTGTCAATCATGCTAGATATCATATTTAGGCTTTGTATCGGTACTGTGGGACCCCTAATGGTCGTTTCTTGTTGTCATCTCACTGATTTCATTAATATTATATACACAGTCATGTTCATGCATTTCATATCATATCTCAGTCTCAGTTGTTATTTATTGATACATTATATCATTATTTCGGGCTAGTTTTCATGATATTGTGGGCCCATGAGTGAGACTGGATAGATTGATGACTGAGTGAGGCCGAGAGCCTAATTATGAGTGACAATTATGAGATCGGGCTGCACGTCGCAGTGATTATACTGATTTGTGATAGCGTTTGGGCTATCGAAGCCCCTCCGGAGTCTATAACAGACCCCCAGTGAGCGCGATTGATATTATCGAGGGATGAATCTTCCTTGGACATGGATCTCGTCCAAAGTACTTGAAATCTGGAGATGGATCTTCTCCACAGGGATGGATTGGCCTTCCTCGGTACTGGGTGACTTATAGTCAGTGATGTATATGTCCCGGGATGGATCTTCCCTGGGCCGTATGGGCTATATACAGTACCAAGTGGTTGAGAATTTGAGAGTGTGAGCACATGAGGCTGACAGCATGGTGCATCACATACAGCATGTGCATTGGCATGTAGAGATAGTTTTGTTATATTCTTTACGCTATTCAGATCTGCTTTATTTTACTGTTTCAAGCTGCCTATTTTATTTGAAAGCATGCCTACGTTTTTGCATAGTTATTTCTATTTATCTATGTCGGTTGAGTTCGTCACTACCTTTTAGTCTAAAGTTTGGACTTGTTACTTACTGAGTTGGATGTACTCACGTTACTCCCTGCACCCCGTGTGTAGATCCAAGCATTTTTGGTCACGGCGGCGGTTGTTGATTGAGGCTTCAGAGTTCAGAGACTATCAAGGTAGCTGCACGGCGTTCGCGGGCCTTAACTCTCCCTCTTTATCACTAGTTGTATTTTAAGTTTATTTCTCTAGACACTGTAGTGGAGTGTATTCTGATTTAGACGCTCATGTACCTAGTGACACCCTGGTTTTGGGTTGGATTATATCGTATTTTGGGATTTATTCTATTTTTTTCAAAAGGTTCCTTAATGTAATTACTTTCGGCTTTATTTTCAAGTTATTCTTACTGTGATGAGTTGTTAAGTAGAGGTTGGCCTAGTTCCACGATAGGCTCCATCACGACAGTTGATTTGGGTCGTGACATGAATGAAGAGAGCGAGTTCCAACGAAAGAATTTTTTTGAAAAAGTGGAGGTTTTGAGCCAAACATGGCTAGTGGAACAAGCTGAAAAGTTAGAAATATATGAGGCTCAACATGAGGAAATTATTGGTGGGATGAGACACTTTATAGAAGGAAGAGCTGAACTGGGACAAGAGATTGAAAATTGGCACTGATATTCACGACTAGGGAGCTAAATTAATTGCAAAGTTTGACGCGTCTAATGCCCAACAAAATAGTAATGAGTCGTGTGTAGCTTGAAAGGAGCTTATACGCCAAATTGAGGAGCTAAAAGTGGAGAGCCAATCATTCGAGCATATTTTTATTGATGATGCCCATGTTGAGAAAAGTAAACTAGAGCTATGTAAGGAAGTAGATAATTTTATGGTTGAATAATATAGTGCATGTAAATATGAGGATATAAAGAGTAAATCAATTCTAGAGTTAGGGCATATTGGTCCTCATTCCATACATTTTTCAACATTGTGTTTGGATGATAACATGGAAATCGAATCATCTGAGCCTTTGAAGGAACCAATGAACGAGGAACGGGGTGCCTACATTCTTGAATTCATCGAGCCAGAGAGACAGAATTACATACCTCATCCAAAGGCCAAGAAGTGTAAAATGCGATATTGGTTGCTTGGCCCAATTAAATAGGTCTCGCCATCCAAGGAGCATAACAGAAAAGCTTGAAGCCAAATTAGGGGCTCAATTCATAAGTTTTAGGTGGAGGGAAAAAGTGGTTCAAGTCGTGCCGCGGTGTTAAATCAGGCGCTTGTTGGGAGGCAACTCATCTTTACTGCTTTCTTTATTTTTATTGTTATTATATTATTTTTGTAATATTTTTTTATTTTGTAGGATTAGTAGCATATAAGGCAAAGCCACTGGAAGAGTGCAAAAGCGAGCTAGGTGGTGAGAACTAAGTATTGGGTTCCCACACAAAGGACCATGCGTGGGGGAAGTCTGAGTACCCCGTAAGGCGCTATTGCTTTGGCCTTTGGCCTTTTAGGGAGTTTCTTATCCACCCTCATTATTGTTTTGCATTATTTGTGCATTGGGGACACTGCACTATTTTAAGTATTGGGTGGGAGAATTTTTCTAGATGATTAGTAGTAGTGTGTTAGGAAAATGTTAACTTCCTATTTTTATTTTCGTAGTTGTGTAGTATTTTAGTAGCTCCTAAGAAAAAAAAAAAAAAAAAGGTAGAAAAAATGGACTTTTTCCGATGATGAATTTCCTATACAATTTTCTTGAGGGATTTAAGTCGAAAGAAAAAGGACAAAAAGATTTTCTTTGTAGGTAGTCTAGTAATTACCCATTGGTTTTTATTTGTGTTGCGGTTCTTTTCCAAGGGTTTTGTTTGAACCAGGTGTAGTCAATTTTATTTTTTAGGAGTAGGAACCCTTATGTTGTTATCGGAATTGAAGCAATATCTATTGACTTTGTTATGCCTTGAGAATAGTGAGTACTTTAGTTGTGACACTTAGGCTCAGTTTTTGACTCTTGTATAAGTACCTTAAATTGTATGATCATAACTTTGCTTAACTGCTTTGACTAGAGTATCTTGATGAGCCCAATCCTGAGTGAGTTATGTGCCATGTGTGTGTGAGGTTGTTTATTATTATGTGCATTGCATTTGATGTCTAGAACTTGCATTGCATTTGATGCCAAGCTTTTGGAAGGAAAAAAAGTGTTTTTGAGGAGAAACAGAAGCAGTTTTGGAGAAGCAGAAAAAAGTAGTTTCTCTCCAAAAGCATTTTTTTGAGAAGCACTTTTGAGAAAAATACACTTAGAAGTAGTTTTTTAAAGCTTGGTCAAACACTAATTGCTGCTCAGAAGTGTTTTTCAAACTAATTAGCCAAACACAAACTGCTTCTCACCAAAAGTACTTTTGAGAAAAGCACTTTTGAAAAATAGCACTTCTCAAAATAAGCTGATTTTTGCAGCTTGACCAAACGGGCTATTAAAGTGATTCTTTTTTTCTGCAAGAGCAAATAATGGCAAGAGGAAGAGATTAAAACTTCAATATCAAATTATACAAAAATCTAACTCATGAGCTCATGCTTATTGTCGAATTGCTAAAATTTTGAAGATCTAAGGCATGGTTAGCTGTAGAATTTGTCTAAGTTTGATATCGTGTTAATTTGTCTATATATTTTATTGGAATGGAAGCTTTTGGTTGATCTTTTATAGAAGATTTAAAAAGACATAAAAAATATTAAAAATATAACATGCTAGGTAACTGAAACAGAAAGATTATAGAAATTACTCTAAAATGATTTGACATTTAACATTTCGATTGCAATTTTCTCTACCTCAAAGCGCCTTAGTATACGTATGAGTTAATCAATATGAACATATTCAAGTGAAGTACATGTAGTTTTATAAAAACAAAATTGAAATATCCAGACAATATAAGATAGAAATTATTATATTTTAAAAAGAATCACGAAGTACATTAAATTAGTTTGATCAAAATAATAGGTTTTACATTAAAAGATCACAAAAGGAGGAAATGTGTAAATTAAAAAATTTAGTAGCTGCCTTATCGTATTATTTTTGGACTGATCATTTATCTAACATTAACAAGGAATTATGTGTCTCAATGATAAGATATGGTGTTAACGACTATGCCAAAGCGTGTTTGTTATTTAGGTTGCTAGCTGATGTTAAAAATGCTAATGGCTACAGTTTCTTTTTTAGAAACTATTTATCAAAAAATATTATCGTAAAGCTCCGTAGTTCTAGTGTCGATAAATCTATCTGGGAGATAGCTATTGCATGTAATTAAATCAAACTAGGAAAGTGCCTAACTAATATTATCTATTATTATTGAGCTAAAGGAAGTAAACACATTTATCAACATGTATAATCTCTTTATCATGATAATGATCATATCTGCCTACAAAGGATGTCGTGAGAACCAAAAAAATTTCCTAATAAAATTTCAAATGACAAAGTATATGAGAACTTCTATAAAGAAGAGATCTTCCTTTATTGAGTTCGATAAATAGGATTGACATTCATCATTTTCAGAAATTCACTTTTAAGAAAATTATTTAATAATTCAGATACTTTTTATGAAAACATCTACTATATATAATTTTTATAAAGTTTATATTCATTGGTGCGAGGTACACGTGCAACACGCGTATTCTAATACTAGTATTCCTAAAATTCACCTATAAATTCATGAGAGAATCTCTATCATAAATGAGTATTGCTCTCATGGCCTATCTAGTTGTAGCCTAGAAACATTTTTCTTCGGACCAAGTCTATGAATCTAGTCCCAACAAATATCTTACTCATAACTTATTTAGATAGTCTACTGTGACAAAAAGGCAAAAACAAATTAATTGAACTATACATAGAGACCTTAACATGAATGTGTCATACTCATATCTAATAATTTATGGTCAAATTTGTTGTTAAATACCAAATATGACACCTATATTCACATGCCTTCGACCTATGAACATTAGATTCCCAGGGAATCTTAGAAATGGCCATAGGGCATTTTTTCAACTCTACCGAACCAAAATGTACCGAATTCCCTGTCATGAGGATTTTAATCCAAACAATTATAGTTCGGTATTTAATAAATGGGTAGTGATCGTTCAAAGCCCTCACTCGTCAAAGGTGATTGAATTAAAAAAGAAAACAAGAAATGAGCAAATTATATAGCTATGCTGATCTTGTGTGTAGAAACAAAATCAAAAGGAAATTGATTAAATCCCAAAAGAATGTGATTGCAATAGCATTTTATCTCATGAAAAGAATACACATCCATGCAAAGATATATTGGAAATGGAAAAGGGCCAATATGCCCTTAACCTATTTAGAATTTATTGGTTCACTAAATTCCCCACCGTTTTCTTTTGACTTAAAGTTGCCCCTAAACCTAACAGTGTGGGTTTTAAGGAGCCAACAGGTTAACGAAGGGCAATCGTAAAATAAATCTGATAGTATAGGAGTAATTTTTATCATTTTTTATTTTATTATTTTTTCATTTTATTTATACTTTTAAACGTAATCGCAATTATATCCAATTTTTATGATCCTCTCAAACTACTCAAACAATTTCTTTCATGAGTTTGGACCCATGCTTAGCATGGGCTAGCTCTTAACTAGTATATAACTAGGACTGCAATGCCAACTCCGCATTCAAATGAAAGTCTGAACATTTGGAAGTAATTGCAGAAGAAAAATATACTGTAGATGCAGGGTAGGTTAGAGAGAGAGACACACACACACAAAGAGAGAGAGAGAAGCAGATGAGAAGTGGTATACCTCAGCATTACACAATGTGCAGAACAAAGCTTCTTCATCTCCACTGTGCTGCAGCAATTGATCATCCTTCCGACAGTCTTCAATGACAAAACAACAACATAGGATCCCTCCAAAATTTCCACAGCAACTTGATGCATCCCTTGCAGGTGTTCCTCCATCACGAAACCCTTGTTGGGACCCCCAGCATTAGATAATCACCTATCACAAGCAGTTTAAGATGTCAACAGAAGATAAATCATGGTTAAATTACAAAATGATACCAGTGTTCCATTTTTCACCCACTCCCTCCCCAACGAGATGCAGCAACAAAGTCTCACACATAACACTTGATAGTCTTTTTCCTTTTTTGTCTATTGTAAAACTTGACTTATTTTTAGTTCATGATAGTAAAATTTGATTTTTCTTAAAATGTTGTTCAATTGTATTTCAAATGTCTACAAGGTCAGGGTTTACTAGTTATCTTCAACTCATACCAAATCGACACACTACTTGTTCTTCAATTACAACCCAAAATTAAAATTGTCAAATGTATCTTGAGGTTGTTCTAGTTCGGCTGAAGATTTAACTTTTTCAAAGGAAGCTGAATAAGAGGATCATATTGCATCCAAAAACTAACCAGGCAACTCTATTTCATTGTGTGACTCATAGGCCGTTGACTTGTCAGCTTCAATGAGAATCTCGGGATCAGCAGGACATAGAGTGTGAACACACAGAGCCTGAAAGCAAGAGTTAAAAATGACAAAAAGTGACAAGAAAGTGAAAGAGGAATAGACTGTTTGCAAAACAAAATAACAAGAACGTCCATCCCTATTGCTCTCACCAAGAAGGAATAAACACCAATTGATATGTAGCCGTAGATGCCTTTTCCTAAAAATGGAGCCAAAAAACGCATAGAAGGCAACAGATAACAGGAAGAAAACAGTTATACCCACAACCTGCACACGGCAAGGTGGAACAATGAGTACACAAGCTTTAAGTCGTACAAGAACAATAAATGATATTAGCTAAGTATAAAGGCCGATAAAATATGATGTCATTAATCATCAGTAAGGATTGCACCTTCCATAAGAACTTTAAGGTGAAACTTGGCATTCAGAGACATGGGAAATGGGAAAAAGAGTACAGAAGAAAGAAATGCATGCTGATCAACACAACAAAAACCCGATTAAGTACTTTACTTTGTCAGATAGACGGCAAAAGATGATATCAGGTGAAACTTGGCATTCAGATAAACACAGTTGCATTAGCCAACCCAGTGAACGTGATTCAGAGTTAAAACCTCTTTAGACTATGTTGAAGAGTTTGTCCAACAAGGAACTGGATAAAGCAGATATGCATTATTGCATTTAGACTAATAGAAAGGTTCACATAAGTTCTAATCTTATTAAAAAGCAAGGTAATCACCATAAACTTTGAAACCCGTCAAATAAATTTTCTACCACAAACTAAAACTTGACGCATTTGCTCCAAATTCACAACAGACCCAAAACCAACATAAAAATTCAGATGAAACAAACTGAAATTAAATGTACGTCAAGTCAGATTCTTCCTCCAAAGTGAAAGATCGCATTTTTTTGAGATATTTTAGTAAATCAAAACTAAAAATTATGCAAATTCCAAATCTGCAAAGAAAAGTAACTGGGGCATCACTCAAAAAGGAAATGTAAAGAGAGTCAAAGTGCAGTTGACTAAAGAAACAATCAGCAAATGCCAACAAACCACTCTACCACCAAAACAAAACTCCCACTTTAAAGACCCAAAAAAGATCTAATAACACCAACATTATGACTCATGGACTCTATTTATTGTGGAGAATTTTGTGTAAATTAATTATGGAAAAATTCATGATAAAAATGGGAGAGGAACGTTTTAGACTCATGGACTCTATTTATTTTGGCGTAAATCCTTCTAAACTCAATATAGTCCCGACGGCCCAAATCATTTTTTCATCAAACCCAAATCTTACTTTAAATCTCTGTTAGCAGACACATTAATCTCTCTTTATCATATTTCAATTTTGTTTCATCTCAAATAACACATGAAGCAACACTTTCCTACTAATACCCACAAATTCAAATTCATAAGACTAAAACATACATCTACAACATAACCTAATCTAAAATGGCCCATGACATTCTTTTAACAACTAAGCAATTACATTCATAAGAGTAAGGTAAACAGAACATTAAATATTGTACCCTATAAAGCGATGAAAACTTATTAACACTTCAAGCAACACAAATTGAGAAGGTTTGATGAAAGCTAATAGAGCAAGATGTTTCGAGCAAAATAGTAGAAGAAAGAAAAGAATGAACCTTTAAAATCTTTCACTATTAAGAAACTCCAAGTAAGCTATAGAGTCATATTCTATCCCAAGCACGTTAAATTAAATAGTTCCAATTTATTTGAGCAAATATCACAACCTAAAATACATGAACGAGATAACTTCATAAAAAAAATAGATTAATTGATCAAAACGGCTACAAAGGGCATGAAGACGTTAAAGAATCTGCAGAAAATATTATTTTTTCACAATGTTTATCCAACTAACAGAGTAATGTAAATACAAGTGGTAACATAAAAACGGACCCAGCTTAATGGACTATATGTCTTGAGCAGTGGCAGGCATCATTATGCACATAATTTTTCTTTCTTTCTTTCTTTTATTTCAGTTTTCCATTTAACTTTTATTAAACCAAGTTCTGAGTTTGCTAAACTATTTAACATGCTAAAACTCAAATAACAGATGTAATTCAATGAAGACATATTCAATCAAGAGGAAGAAATCAGTGATTTGCCTAAAAAAATATTATTTCCTCAAATACATACTCAATCGAGGATAAGGGTCCATTTAAAGTTATTAAACAAGGTCCCAACCAATGTTTATTCCCAGATTAGCAACCCCAAAGCCCACCCTATCAAAAATGAGTAAAACTTCCCTAAGATTTTTGAATTAATCACCATTACAGCAAAATCAAAGCATCCTCATGATAAAAAAAAACAATAAGTGAGAAACCAAAACCATTCATTTAAACACTGACAAGAGCATAAATATGGACATAGAATAAAAGTTTTTTTAAAAAAAGGAAAAGAATCTCTATTGACGAAGTGAAAGAAAACAGAATCTTCCGAGCAAACGGAACTTCCGCCGGAAAACCAGACCACGACCGAAGAACCTCCAAACAGCGACAAACTCGAACTAACTCACAATCTTTCGAAACTCAGACTACAAAAATAGAAACTCTGTTTCGTCTGGGAAAAGAAAAGTTTCTTTCCTTTTCAACTAGAGCTTCATGGTGAATTTTATGGAAATTTCTGGGTTTTTCTACTATGTAATACGAAGAAGAAGGCCGTCCTTTTTCGTTTTTTTTTCTTTCTGTTTTCTATCCCCCTCAAAGAATGAGCAGCAGACGCGTTTTTTAATTCTTTTCGCCTCTTCTTTCCCGTCCCCTTTTCCGTTTTTCTCGTTTTCTTTTCGGTCCTTCCCCCTTTTTTGTTGCCCCCTAGTCCTTTTTCAGAAGAATCAGCCACATTCTTTTGCTTTCAGGTCCTTTTTATCTTTTTTCCTTTTTTTACTTCTTTTTGTAGTCCCTTTCCTCGCTTCTTTTATTGTTGATATTAACGAGCCTCCTCTGTAGTGTTCCTTTGTGATCTTGCTGGTAAAAAGGTGCGGCAAAAAGATGTGGTGTGCAAAAAGTATGCAGTTATCCTGTGCATGCATGACTCCATATTTAACTAAACTGTCTGCAACACAATTTTGCTTTCTGTAGATATGTTGGATAGGAGGCCTATCCAGCTGTAGAAGTAACAACATGCAATCATTAATAATGTTAGTATAGTGCATAGTATTTGTTTGGAACATACCTATGATTTCTTTTCAATCTGTTTCAATGACAATGGGTGTAATTTGCTGTTGCACAACAATTTTCAGTCCCATGAGCAAGGAGTTATGTCTGGACGCTTGTACCTTGGTTCGATTTCCCTGCAAAGCCCGTGATCCAATTGCCTTGGTAGTTACGAAAAACTCCACCAATGCTATATTGTTTGTGGGTAGATGAGGCAGACCCGCCTATGTTTAGTTTATAGTAGTTTGCAGCTGGAGGATGCCATTTAATGTAAAGAGGTGTGGCATGATTTATTTTTATTTTTTTTATTAGTATATGTTAGAAAATAGTATTCTGTTGTTGTATTGATTAATAAGTGAATATTTAAAGGAACTCTTTTATGTTCCAATATATTTTTGTTCCTTATAATCCACAAATGCCAGAGTGCAAAAGGTAATAGTGTAGTAGAAGGGATTTGATGAGGAGTGGATGATAAATGTGTATGAATAATATCATACAGCCATGATGTATTATCATTTTGAGATGTATCAGTAGTTGGAGTTGGAAGAGATAAGTTGAGGTAATCATATAGCTGAAGTGCATTTGGGCATTCAAGAAAAATATGTGTTTTTGTTTCAGGAGCCATATGACACTGTGTACATATAGGTGAATGTAGAATACCTAAATTTGAGAGATAGATAGCAGTAGGAAGTCTGTTATGGGAAAGTAACCAAAGAAAGAAGGATATTTTTGGTGGAATTTTTAGATGTCAAATCCACTTGTATGAAAAATGTTGACTGGTATTAGGAATGAGTGATGTATAACTGGATTTTACAGAGAAGAGGCCATTTGGGGTAAGGGCCCAAAAAATCTGATCATAGGTTGTGTATGATAGAGGCATGTATATATCCTTGATGGTAAGCTTTAATTGATTTGGTAATTGGAAAGGTAATTTTTCAAAATGCCATTCGTGATTGTAATAATAATCGGAGACTAATTTTTGCTCCTCATTATGTGGTAGTGGTTCAGCTATACAAGTGTGAAGTGTAAAATTTTGTTTGCAATTTTTTAAAAAGAAAATATTTGATTTTTGGAAGTTTATAGTTTGGCCCGGGTGATTGGTAAAATGAGTAAGAGTATCAACAATTGATTCACATGTACTAGGAGTGATTTTTGCTATTAGAATAATATCATCAGCAAAAAATAAATGAGAAAGCTGAGGTCCCCTTTTGGCAAGGGAGATTGGTTGCCAAGCATGATAATCAACTGCTATGTTGATTGTGCGCGAGAGCATTTCAAGACAGAGGATAAATAGATATGGCGATAATGGGTCTCCCTGGCGTAGGCCTCTGGTGGGTGTGAAATATTCAGATGGGCTTCCATTAATAATAATAGATGTGGATGTAGTTGTGATACAAGACATAATTAGTTGAATAAAAATAGGAGGAAAATTTAGGGTAACGAGAGTTTGATATATGAAAGACCATTCTATTTTATCAAATATTTTTTCAAGATCCAATTTAATAAGCATATTAGTATTTTTACCCTTCATTTTTTGGAATCTAGTAATTATTTCCTGAACAATAAGGGCATTATCTTCAACTCTTCTATTTTTCTGGAAACTAGATTGAGTAGGATTAATAATATGTTCTAGAATTGGTTTGAGCCGATTAACAGTAATTTTTGTAATAAGCTTATAAATCGTATTGCATAGGCTTATGGGCCGATATTGGGATATAGATGAAGCGTGTTTATGTTTAGGGATTAGGCAAATAAGAGTATTATTTATGTTAGGGTGTAACTTATGATCAAGAAAAACTTTGTGACAGAAGTATTTGACTGAATTGCCAATGATGTTCCAATATTTTTTATAGAAGAAAGGGTATAGTCCATCTGTTCTTGGAACCTTGAACGGTTTGAAAGAATGTAGGGCATTGATGATTTCATGATCTTGTAGTGGTTGAGTTAAAGAAATTTGTTCATCCAGAGTTAGAACGTTAGAAGGTTGGATTGAATAATGTCTATTTGAACAATTTTTTTGTGTTGTAAATAGAGACTTGTAATAATTTATAATATTTGTTTTGATGATATGTGGGTTAGTGAGCCAGTTGCCCCCTTGATCTTGTAAAACAGTAATACGATTATGTAATCTATGATTTAAAGTGTAGAGATAGAAGAAATTTGTGTTTGCATCTCCATCATTTAACGAGTTAATATGGGACTTCAATTTCCAAAAATCCTCCTCAAGCTTTAGAAGAAGATTGAATTCAGTCTGTAATTGACGTTCCAAATTATGTAAAAAGGTGTTAGTAGGATAGTGTTGTGAAGATTGAATACCTCCTAAGCGAGCCAATATTTTTCTCTTACGTTTAAAAATATTTCCAAAAGTGGATTTATTCCATTCTTGTATAATTTCTCTGAAATTTTCAATTGCTGGAAGTAATTGAGAATTTTTATTCCAAGCTTATTGAACTAATTAAGGGAAAGCAGGGTGTGTAGCCCAGATAGTTTCAAAGCGAAAAAAAATCGAGGTAAAGGACAGTGCTTTAAATGTAATAAGAGGGGACAATGATCGGAATGTGTACATGGAAAGTGTGTGACAAGTGCATCAAGGTAATGACTAATCCAGTCATAATTTGCTAGAATACGATCAATACGTTCTAGAATATTATGATGATTATAATGATCATTTGTCCAAGTATAGCGGCTACTTTTATAACCTAGATCAGTAAGGTGGCAATAATTTATATAGTCTATAAACTTATTAGACCGTGTGTTGTTAATCTGTTGGCCTCCAAATTTATCATTAGCATGAGCTATTTCATTAAAATCCCCTCCGATAATCTATGGACCCTTGTAATTGTCGTACAAACACATAAGGTTATTCCAAAGAATTTGTTTATTACATAACTCATTGCTAGCATATACTGTCGAAAATAACCACTTAAAAGTAGAGGGATGTACCTGAATATGGCAGTGTATTTCCTATTTTGTGGTTGCTACTAGTTCTACTGTAAGCACATCACAATGCTATAAAATAATTATACCTCCCGATTGTCCTATAGCAGCTTCCTCAACCATGCCAGTGAAATTAAATTCCTCCTTCACATTTTGATGATCTTGACAGTGAGTTTCCAGTAGCACGACCAAAGAAAGGTGATTATAGTCAAGGAGGGAATGAAAATTACGTCGAAAATCAGTAGACCGAGCTCTTCTACAATTCCAAATAATGAAATTCATATGATTATTAGTGGGGGTGAGCCATCCTCAGGGTGGTGGTGTTCTCCCCTGGATGCAGACATATGTTGGCATGAGAAGCATTGCATATTTGCCCACATCTGGATTTGCGGTGGGCCTTATGGAAAATGATGTTGTCATTAGATTTTAGAGGACAACGTATGTAGATTTTTCTTTCGTATTCCTCTTTTTGGACAAAGACCTTGATTCCATCTAGCCATGCATGAACCGGGCGTATCTCCCTGTTGTAAGCTACTGCTGCTTCGAGTTCTTCCTGAAAAGCTCTATTTTGTGCAGTTGGATTGGGAAGGTTTGGTGGAGATTGTGGTGGTGAGAGGAGTGGAGGTGTAAGGGGTTCAAATAATGGAGTGTGTGTCTGTGGGACAGAGTATAGTTGTATCAATGGTGTTGCAGGAATTAGGGTCGGAGGTGGGTAAAAAGGCAGTTGAAGAAGATTGTAGTAGAGATGAGTGGGATCCCATATTGGTATTGGAAGATGTAGAGGATGGTATGGTAAAAGATAAGGGGCTTGCATCATAGACCGATGGTATCTGCCATAGATTTCCGTCCCTAGGCTCATTCCCTCCGCTACTATTTGCGCAAGGTCCCTCAAATTATTGATAAGGATTGTCACTTCTTGGTTGTTTACCTCCATTGTGAAAGTTAGAGCATGATTCTGAAGGCCTATCTCTAGCCAAGATGTTGGATCTGTCGTTTCATATGGTGTTTGAGCAGTGTATATTGTGGTGTTGGGTTCCATTATGAGATGTAAAGGAGGGAGTGAGTATGGAGTTTGATGGTGGTTGAGACGATGAATAGTCTGCCTGTTGTTGGTGTTGGAGTGTCTGCGTAGGTAATTGAAATTGTTTGGAAACATCTTTTTTATTTAAAGGAGATGATAATGGATGTTGAGTGATTTTTGTAGAAATTAGGACTGGATTTAAAGAGGAAGATATATCAGTGGTGGAAGAGAACAATTGATTTTGATGAATTGGAGAATGTGTGTGGGATTGATGTAGATTTTGTGAAGTGTTAGTAGTTGATATATCATCATTTGGTGTTTGCATGGAAGATGTAGTAGGTTGGCGTGGTGAGGAGAGTAAACAGTCATTGGTAGTAGAGGTGTTTTGATTGTGTAGGGTTTCTACTAGGTTTTGTAGGGGTGTTGAGTGGGATTGGGTTGAGTGTTGTGAGAGGTCCTGCATGTAGGTTTGGATGTCGTGTCTTTGTGCATAGGCTGGGGTAGGTGTTGGAAATTGTGGGTGTTTTGATTGGGTTGTAGGAATAACTTATTCTAATAGGCTATTATTAGTAATTAGAGGGCTGAGTTTAGT